TATGATTTAAAATACATCTCGCAACACCAAAATTGTATGTGCATCATATTTTTTATTTTATTATTTCCAGAAGTTCCCCTTGAAGACTATCCCCATGCACGTAAGTGACACACTGCATCCGGTAATTTGTGTGTTAATTTCAACGATCAAAATATCAAAAACACATTACTAAGTAAATTATGAGATTTTTGTTATTAACAAAATATCAAGAATTTTACATACAAAAACAAACACCTTAAGAAACAATCCATTTTAGTTATAATGAAATGCATTTTAACTAACTGACATATTTTTGTATAAAAAAAATATTTTTGGTTATGTAGATCCAATAAGGAGGGATTTAAAACATTTTAAATACATCTGTATTTACTCTTAAAAGGAGTAGTTTGGTGTCTCATACTTTTTCAAAATTCTTACTTTTAACAGTTAAAAATGTGTAACAATAAACATATAAAGATTTTTTTTTAAATATATTGGACATACATATCTGTCAAAATGATCAGACACGTGCTGATCGAGTCAGGAAATAGAGTTAACGAAAGCCCAACAAATGCGTCCGATATATCCATAATCTTGATGTAACACCGAGATGGCACACCAAGTATAAGCGTTGTCTCTAATGATTCGCTCAGGCAGATTTCTCGTCCCTTATTGGCATAACCACACCACAAGGCTCTTTTGCTTCTGAAATAGCACCTTGAGACGTATTTGGTAGTCCGAAATACACAGTCAATAAATCAGAATCCCTCTGTATGTTGAGACAATGTGACAAAGGATGTAGGAATTTCCAAAATCAATCGAAACCAAAAATTGCCCCGTCAAATTAGTCGCATCGCATGTAACAATATGCTTCTTGTTGAGATGACAACAGCACCGAAATCTTCCCTGAAGTAAAAGGTCTACTAAATCAGTACTAGTCTCCTGCCAGACAAAGGAGTCTTTCCCGATCGTTCACAAACTTACATCAGTTTCATTCTCAGGCCAAAAAAAAAAACGATCTACGGAATGACAAGCAACTACCGCTGTTGACCCTTACTTATAGTGGAGCACTATTACGCGAAGAGTAAGAGATGCTCGATGGGTTCAGGAATCCAACATAAGTTGCTCTGTCACATCACCCAGTGACATCTCTTGAGATGGCAGCAGCACCGGATAGAGAATCCAGACATGTATGTATATGGCATTTGGATTTATCAGACCTTAAAGCAACATTCTTTCCCCGCGATTTTGGGTATTAAATCACATCCACTAAATGGATTCCGAAGGAACCTCAACCAACTGGCCAGTCAGCACAAAGTCCTACAGGTAACTGACCACCTGTAGTACCAGATTATATGGTGCTCTGATTCTACTTCATGTCAAATCATTACAAGGAAAGACTGAGGATACATTTGATAATAACCAGTTTATAGTACCGGCAGACTATAGGCACCACTATACCACTATAGATTGCAATACACCAAGATGGGATATACCATCAAGGGAACATGCCCAGGGCGGGCTTATACAAAGACAGTAAGATTATTCATAGTTGCCTGGCACTAAACTCTACGATCCAATTATGTCTAAGTAAAACGTTAATTTCAAATGTCAAAAAACATTTATAGCTTTTTATCGAAGAGATAATTTTTAAGTTATGACAGTCTTGCAAAAAAATATTACCGATAAATATCTTCTGTGAGTTAAAAAAAAATATCTTTGCATTGACAACAAATTCGAAACTTAAGATTGTGCATGAATATCTTAACTTTTCCTTCATCAACTTCCACAAGATTAATTTGATGTCATTCGGAGACAAAGTGGAAATACTTCGACTATAAAAACAAACTACATTTTGCAACATAATAGTGCGACGACAGATGGTATGAGATTTATATGTTTAACAATAAAATGATCCGTAAAGATCTTTGTAGCTATTTTTACATCGGTGATATTCTCATAACCACTAAATCGTTTTGAGACGTCTTTGTGTTTGTATTTCATTCCAAATATTTCTCTAGTTAAATACAATTAAAACAGTTTTCTTTTTTGATTGGATTTATGGCGATCATATCTTTAAAATATCTTTGCAAGATATATATAAGTTATTTAAAATATTTACTATTGTGTTAACATAAGCGGAAATAATAACTAACAGTTTGATGTTACTGTCCCGAACTTATGATATTGTTAACACTACCGTAGGCAGACTTTCAGTTAAGCTAACATTCTACGATTACAAATGGACATTTGACTCCACAAAGTATTGCTTTTAGTGAGTAAATTAATTACACAGGCGAACAAAATTTGAAAAAATTTAAAGCCCAGAGATCAAAGTATATTTTTCTAGAGCATTGTGCAGCGCAGAATCAGAATCTGGCCTCAGAATTTCTCCATCTTAAGAGCAGCTCAATCATTTACAAAATTATATTTTGATCTCTGGGTAAAAAATTTGTTGGCCCGTGTTATTTTCTAACACGCAGCACAAATGAAACGGTTAAAAGTGACTACTTTGTAGCATTCTCAGGGAAAATAAGAAAGTATTTTGTGATATTTTAAGATTAGTGTAACATTGTTATTTTTTAACTTTACTACTAAAGCTGTGAAGAAATAGTATATTGTTGTAAAGAGACACATTACTTATAAAGAAAATAGAAAAACATTTACAATTGCAAACATTTCATAAACTCAACATGAATCTACAGATCTTTTTGCACAAACTATTAGATGTTTTTTTTCTATGGAGCTAAGCCGCCAATAACATTGTTAACAACATGTTCCATGGGTTTGCAACACACTTTACTATTTACTGTTTAAACCATTTTAATCTATATATATAAAAGAGTAGCGTTACTGACTGACTGATTCATCATCGCACAGCCCAAACGGCTGAACTGAGAATCATGAAATGTTGACAGTAGATGTGCTTTTGGTTATGTAGAGGGATTTTTGAAAATTTGTATATTTACGGGTAAAAAGGGGAAAAACGGGTAAAACTGTTTTTCTTAATTATCTTACACAATATTAGTGATACAAGAAAAATTTTAAATGCACCTGTATCTACTCTTAAAATGAGCAGATGGGTGTCTGGTACTTTTTTGAAATTCTTACTTTTAAGGGGTAAGAATGTGTAACAAAGGTGATTTTTTTGGCCCCTTATAACCTTTGAACTAATTAACATAATAAAATTTGTATAAATATTTTGGATACATCTCCCAAAATTATGAGACACCTGTTTCGAACCTTTTTAAAATTCAGTCCTTTTAGGGTGTAAAAGGGAGAAAACTGTATTTATGGTACTTTTTTTGTGGCACATTAAGAAAACTTTTTCGGTTTATTGAATTATTCTTATTAAATTACGGACTAACTCTGTAATATTTATTGTAATAAAATGTTTGCTATTTCACTTGGGAAAAAAGTACCAAAAAGGGAAAAAACGGGAAATTTAATTTTATTCAAACTCATTGAGGCAATTTGTATAAAATTTGAAAAAGTAATTTATTTACTCACACAAAATAAGCTGTTGGTATATTATTTTGGAATTCGAGTACTAAGTCCTATATAGGACCAAATTCGAGTAAATTGTTTGGTACTTTTTGAAAGCACTATTTTTCTGGAACAAATGAATGCAGATTTTAATCGTTTGAGTTTTATCTGTGATATTGTAAACTAAATTCTCGAAAAAGTATATTTCTAAGGGAAAAGGAGAAAAATTGTATTCTTTATTAGTACTTTCCACTTAGATAAATTTTATTCCACTTTTGGTACTTTTTCTTTCTTCAAATGATACTCTTTGTATGTTCTTTAATATGAATTCAAAACACATGATTATTAAATATATACGGTACTCATTGAATAAGATTCTTTAAGAGAGAACTTTTTAGTACTTTTTATCTCATACATGTACTTTTTTAATTTTCTAAAATATTTAACCTAGGAACATAAATCTTAACATACATGGTCTTGACTGAATAATATTCTGTAAGTGGGAACTATTTGATACTTTTCTATTCTTCAAATGGTACCTTTTAGATTCTTTATAATGGTTAATCGGAACACACGGTCCTTATTAAATGAGAATTTATTGAGAGAGATTTTTGTACTTTTTGTTTTTCCGATGGTACTTTTTGATATTTTTACGATATTGAAAATAAAATTTTAAATGTAGGGACCTTAGTGAATGAGAATCTACTGAAAGGGACTTTTGGTACTTTTTCATGCTTTAAAATTATATATATGTATTTAATTTAAGTTAGGGTAGCGAAGCACCCAGGGTATGCTAGTCAAATGATAATTGAATGCCTTTTATAGTTGTAGTTTCAAGCAATAAGCAGCGTGCAACAAATTAGTTGTTTATCAATGATCAGTGTTTGATATTGTAGACTATGAAAAAATCATGACCATTTGAAACCATTTACTTACACAATTATTACTGTTTTTAGGTTTTAGCGTATTGATTAAATTTCGTTTAAACATCCAAATCACATTCATCTATCGAGTATACTTTTTATATTAAAATTGATATTACTCATACGTCATGAGGGTCCATAAAAAGATTTTAATTGTAAATTCGATGAAAACAAATCTTTAAGAAAACAATTTAATTTGAATTAATAAAACATTTTTATGATTCTTCCATATATATACCCGACAAAACTTTAGCGATATGGTTGTAGTTATGGTTGATTGTAATTGTTGGAATTGATGTACTACTTCAGAAAACCTAATAAGATAAAGTCTAAAATAAAAGTGTATTACTGTAAATCATAGTAATTTTTGCTTAGTTGTTGGTAGTTAATATAAGGATAATGTGCTCATTCTAAATGATATTATTAAGAAATATTTACATATACATACTTACATTTGAATAACAACTATTAATATCCAATGAAAATTGAAATATATGTATGTACTTAGTTACTTTTATTGTAAGGTTTTATATTTTAATATTAAAATTTTTATTATACAAAACGACACTAAATCGTTAACAAGTTTTACTTATTATAAGTAGATTTGCTAAAGTTTTACTTTATTTTTGTATTGAAAAATTTTCTTATTCTAAAGCTATTTCATCATCTAAATTTGTCATTCTTCTTTTTAGCAAATAGTTGATATTCACAAGTAAATTCAGTAAAGCTTTATACATCCACATTATTAGTTCAATTGCAAACTTATGTTCTTTGAAGACGTCCTTGTGTGAAAGCTGTTACTGTAAGAAGCAATTTTATTTAATAGATTTAGAATAGTTTTGATAGTTTCGCACAATATATACCAGTTTGCTTTGTAATATTGAATGATGCAACTTCATAGTGTTCGAGATTCAGCAATAGATGGAAATGATTGCATGCTGTATGAGTTGGATGGGATGTTGGACTTCGAAATCATAAAATTATCTCTCTAAGATACCTTCACTTAATGGTTGAATACGGCTTTAGTGAGGGTCATTACTACAAGAAAGAATAGAAGTTAACGATTGGTTAGAATTTTAAATTCTTATAATTTGAGTTTAAGGTGTGAATTATTCTTAAAAATTATTATTAGAGTAGTTTTATTAAATATACCTATTTATTCGGAGCAAATTAAATTGCCTAGGAAAAAACTTACAATGAAAAGTAATGAGTTAAAAAGCTAATAAAACCTCTTTTTACTACTTCTTTATTAGCATTTTAAGTCATTATTTTAACACGGTGATGACATTGAAGGCAAATACTTCCACGCTCTCTTACAAATAAAGAGTTAAAGAAGGTACTTGCAATTTCGCTTACAAAGTAGTTGTTGCGTAAGTTGTTTTGTATTTTAATAATATAAAGAGCCGCAACTCTTAACTCGCAATCAAATAAAATGTGACAACAAAATGACAAAACCGAAAATAAAGTACTTCTATATTAAATTAAAGAAAGTCATTACTAGAGTACTTCTTAGTAATGCAGAGTAGTAAGTAGTTGTCATTGAAAAGTACCCAGCAAAAGTTTCATATTATGTAAAGAGTTAAAATTCTAAATTCACAAAGCATTTTAAGTCAAATTGTTTAACATGGTGATGTCATTGGAGACAAGTACTTAACACAACCGCTTACAAGTATTAGTACGCAGAAACTCATACAGCTTCTATAGCTTCACGCAGAAGATAGTTAATAAATTAGAAAGCTGTTGTATAACATATTATTAATAAGACGTTATTAGACCGAATTTAAAAAATAAGAAAGACAAGAAAAGTTTTTGGATTGCTTGACATGTTTGACAGTCTTTTAGAAAAATTTTAAATGTTTTCTGAATTTTAAAGTGTTCTAAAGTAAAATTGAGAAGAACTTTTTCCCATCTGTCCATATAATTGCTCACGCTTTTCAACTGACCAATCTAAATGTGTTGAAGCGAACTGGTTGTTTACTTTTTTCATCTGAAAACTATTCAGATATGTTCGCTATGGCTCCTAGATATGTAAACATGTTTGGATTAAGATGTGTATAAGTATGTAGAATTATGTATTAACAGAATTGGAAAATTAAAGTCAAACTTTTTATTACTGCTACTTTCACGACAGTATCTGTATAATCTTAACGATTTACATCTGTACTATGAGGAAAGTTGCTATCTTTTCTTCCAAATTCTTGAATTTAAAACAAATTTCTTCAGTTTTAACGCAATGTCATTCCTTTGCCAGGTTTTACATATAAGAATGCATTACTTTTAAGCAACAAAATCTCACGACCTCAAAATATATCAATATTTGTCTCCTTTAAATTATTCCATATTGAACAAATTGAGAAAAAATGTATTTGCATGGATAATCCTAAAAGATCCCAACATGACTTAAGCTACAATAAATTGTATGGGATAACCCATATATTGGCTTTCTTGTTGGAGGCACACAAGAATATACTAATTAACACTTGCCACTTATTTACATGTTGCATGAAACTTACTTTATGCAAACGTTATTTTCTTTCTTTAACAAATGAGCTGAGAACGAAAACTCTAGCAGATTGGAAACACTTTTCTTCTGCTACTTGAATGTTTAATGTTGTCATTATATGTTTTGTTGCAGTTGCAGATTCGCATGCAGATAGCTGGACGCATATTGCATGTGGAGTGGAGTTTCTGATGCCTGTAAGTAGATGACAAAACATTTAAAATTAAGAAAATGTAAGTAGCAGGATTTATAATTAGGTTATTGTGGAAAATGTATACTTTATTATACAAAAGCTCTCTTTTTATTTCTTGCTTGAGAAAGCGATGCTAAGCTTTGTGCAGAATTAAGCCGTAAAATGATTAGGACATGATTTAATTAGGCTTTTAGATAAACCGTTGTGTTGGGACTATTCAGAATTGATTCAGAGATTTTTAACTTATCCCTTGTTCCTCATTAATTCTCATACAATTGTTTAGTTTTTTACTTCAATGTTCTATTTCCGATGTTAATAATTTTCTTTAATTGAGATCACAAAGATCACAATCAATGATAGTCACTTGATAATTGCCTTATTCTAAAGCAGGGTTTCAGATTGTATATTAGTTACCACTGATTCTAGAATTGTAATCATCTCAAAGTACCTAACCTATTAAATAGAAGTTCAGGTACCGTATTATTCACAGTATGGCAACTGAGGAATATATGGAACAAACGTTGGATTTGTATCTTAGTGCGCATCTCTGGGAGTGGATGAAATAAATAAATGTCATAAACTATCCAGAAACCCACATTTGTGGGTGAGTTATGAAGTTACACAGTTAACTATAGAAAAGTTTCATAAAGATATCCGGTTTGTCCGTGTCTTACTACAATAATATCTTAAATTTTACAACTTTTGTTTAACAATCTACAATTAAAATTTTAATGACGTCATTAAATACATGCGAATTACAACTTTGCATTAAACATTGTATAAATGTCATAAAGTTTTGTCATCTTTTAATAGAGAGAGCAACAACTTTATCATTTATTTTGTTGGAAAAGTTTATAATGAACTGGTTTTTCTAATTTTCATAGCTGATGTCCTAATTAGAAGAAATATACTATTTAGAAAATATCATTTTCACAGTTTTATTTAAAAGAAATTACTAAAATATTTAGAAATCACAAACATTGGAACAAACGCATTATGCCCTCCACACTACGGTAGAATACAGTGCAACAAACAGATTAATTGTTCCAGTTGATACTAAAATAACATAAATTCACACATAATTTTATGGTTTCACTCTGGATGTTAACTACTATTAAAATTGTTGAACAACAATTGGGTAGGATATAATGGGTTTGTGCTGATATTTCTAACGCACAATAATATTGGTCCTACACTCACATTAAAGTATACCAATCAGCTTAGAATAATTTTCTGAGTCGATTTAACTATGTCCGTCCGTCGGTCTATTATTTCCCCATACAACAGAACGTCCCAATAGGGCTTGTAAACCTTCCAATCAAACTACAGGTCGCAAGTTTGAAGATAATTCAATGAAATTTGGCACACGATCTCCTGTTGTACCAGAGACGAAATCTATTAAAAATAGTTAACGTCGGTTCATTATTTCACCTTGCACTCATGCAACTGAATCCAACGAATAGGGCTTTAAAGTTCATGATTATGTTTAATATACTCGTATTGGTTCATTATTTCGCATTGCACTCATACAACTGAATCCGAATGGGGTTTTAAAGTTCATTATTATGTTAATATACTCGTATCTCGACAAAAAGCTTCAAAAAACCAAGTTCTATACTAGCCTCGATGAACCTGATGAATTTTATAATTATAACAAAGCCCACTTCAAAATATGACTTAAATGTCCATAATTTTATTCAACAATAAATGACTTAAGTATATCTGAGCCAAATTACAATTCCACTTAAATGCTGTATTATGAAAAGTAAATCACATTTTATTTTTATAACCGATGTAGGGTATTATATGGTCGGCCTCGCCTTACTATAATTTCTTACTTGTCTCAATTGTTATTCCATTGTTGGCTGCAGTTTTACTTTTTTACAGATGGGTGAGAAAAATTGCATTTATGTACATGGAAACCAGCACTGTTAAGGAAGTATTGTTTTAACAGATCATGGGGTTTGTTAAAAAAGATAAACGAATGAACGATTTACATATTATGTACAGACACTTGTTTATGCATTTTGCTTTTTACACGTACCCAACTTCTACTTATTTACAATTGTGTCTTTTGTTTAAGTAGAAAATATATTATTTTCGTAGATGTATCTAAGTACTACTTATTAGGTATGAAACCTTAAACCTTTTCCTTTAAAAAACTCAAAATTTTTTGTTTCATTTCACCTTAATCTAGATATTGTCCAGGAAACATACAAACTATATCAATAAACCTGAAACTGAAAGGAAAAATAATCACATTTGCAACTAAAGACATTGACAGTTTGTCTTAAACAAGTTTCAAACGAGTTATTTGAAGCTTTTTTTTGACATGGAATAAAAACTTTTGCTTTCATTACATTCAAGATAATATATGTACATATCTACAATAGAATTCTAACACGCAATCTTATGATAAGACGAAAACAACTAGAATATCTTCAATTTAATCCAAATTATATCAAACAAACGCATTAAACTCTCACCACTACAGACTTGTGGAGGGTATAAAAAAAAGAAATCATAGTTCCATTTGAAAAATTTTAATGGATGCCTTATTAATTGATGCCTTATTGAGGATTGCAGCTATAAACAGTTTATAACAATGTTCCCTGGAACTAAAGAATGTTTAATATGAATTTTAAAATTTAACAAATAAGAGCTTGGATGTGTCATAAATTCATGGTGCATTTGGGAACAATGATCTAAATATAGACTAACTTCGTAATAGATCGATGATTTTGGAATTGTTAACTGTGATTAACTCTATTATTAGATGAAATCTATTATCGGGTTAGATTATGTTAAAAGGAGAATGTATATTACATCGGATTTAGAAAAATACTCATAGGCCGCTATCGAGCCTGTTGTGCGCTCCTTTTCATAGCTAAAGTTTGTAAAAGAAAACCTATATAGCGATCTATGAAAAGAATGATAGCCCAATGTTCAGAAACTCAGTATCTGAGGCGTAGTTTCATAGAATTTTCCAATCAGTGTTTCTGAGAAATGTAGTATCTGGACTACCACCTGCCACCGGTCTTTAATAGGTGAAATTTCTACAACAACATATTGACAAAATCGACGACCGAAATATTTAGTTGGTCATCTTAGTTGCATTGATTTTCACTTGGAAATCATAAAATCCCTTAATCGATTTGGAAGGTGTTTTGAAACACACAGACACGTAATAATTATACAACAAGTCTGATCTTGACCTCTGTATTAAAAGAAACACACCCACCATTTGGCCATATGAGAGGGCATTCAGCTGGCCAAGTCAGTCTTTATAACCTCCAACACCACAGTGGATACATTTATATAAGTTTGTCATTCCGTATGTAACAC